ATTTTAATGATTAAAGAAAGGTCCTAGGAGAGAACCCCAACTGATGCCCCAGCAGGTGTTCTCTGAGATGGAATGGGGTGGGAAGTAGGAGGGGAAAGGATGGAGCAGCCTCTTGTTCGGAAGAAGAGCTTGAGGGGGATGCCACGTAGTGAGAATGAATTCTCTACATAGTGGTCAGTGTGGAAGTTAGTCAACGAATACTTATTGAGAATTTGTGTAAGGGCTTAATGTCAAGAGATGGGAAATTCTGAAGACCCAGGTCCAGTGAAGTCCTTCCTGCAGGATGATCCTGGATGTTTGTATGATAGAAAACACTGAGCAATAATTATTCCCCTGTAGTAGTCTCACCTATGTCCAGACTGGGAAGAATGAAGGTAGAGTAAGAATGTAGTTCTCCTACTGCATTTATTTTTATTCAACGACCATTTATGGAGCCCTTGCTATATACCAAGAAATTTCATATTCATTTATTCAATTAAGCTTTCATTGAGTTTTTACTATGTCCTGGGCACTGAGGGAAGCCAAGGAAACCAGCTTCAATAAGGCACAGCAACGGCCATCTGCAAAAGATCTGTCAAGGATGAATTAAGACAAGGTAGATAGGCAAATAAACTGAAATGTGGTCCACACAAGGTTAGAGATCTTCACAGCAGGAAAGGCAGGGCACCTAAACCCAGTCACAGGACATGATAAATGGGCCAAGCCATACAAATAAGTAGGAACGAGCCAGAAGATCAAGGAGTAAAAACATCATGGGTTAGTGACCACTGTACTCAGACAAGCGGCTAGATTCTGGAGTCATGAATGGCGGCTGACCACTTTACTAATTCCTTGTGGGCTATAAGATCTATCCACCCAATGAGCTTTAATCTTAGAGTCCTCCGTCTGCCAAAGCTAGAGTGTTTCTGAAGAGTAGACCATGTTCTCCTATGGTTCTTATTCCTCCTGTTCTTCACTTCCTATCAACTAGACCAAAGATCAGCAAACTGTGGCCCCAGGCCAAGCAGGGCCCCCACCAGTTTTGTAAATTGTCTCATTGGCACACAGTCACGCCCAACAGTTGCCTTGTCTGCTTTCATACTACAAAGGCAGAATTGAGTAGTTACGACAGAAACTGTTTGGGCCACAAAGCTTAGAATTATTTACCATCTGGCCCTTTACAGGAAAAGTTCGCCAACCTTTGAGCTAAACTACAGCAGCCATGCTCTCAGCTGTCACTATTCTTTGTCATTTGAACCCAGGGGGATGTAGTCCCTTGACAGAAACCATCCTGGGAGGGAGGGAGTGGGGATGAGGGAGAGTGGGGACTGGAACTGGAGGCAGAGCCTGGGAGGTGAGATCTCTTGGCAGAGGAAAGACATCCTCTCTGCCAGGTGATTTAGGGCTGGTATAAGAGGACGTTATGAGAATACTGGGGCCTATCAGAAAATTGGATTCTTTTTCACAATAAGATTGTTTCACTCTGCCTTTAAAAAAAAATGTGCAGCCTTATATTTTGCCAGATTTCAGAGACTCTATGGAGAGTTCTTTTTATAAAGCATTATCATGCAAGAGGAAGATAGCACCTCAGGTGTTTGAGCTGGGAGGCCACATACAATTCAAATCAGAGCAACCGGCCCTCCATGGGACTGGAACAACCTGAACTGGAGAACATAATCCACATCCCACACAGCCCCCGGACCCCTTTCTCTGGCAGCCTGATGATTAATGTGTAAACCAGAAAGACATTTCATTGACTGCCTTCTGGTCTCTTGAGCACAATGCAGTCAATAAATATTTATTGAATCCATTTTCCTAAGGCTTGCAGCACTTGCTCAATGATCAGTCATAACTGAATAAGCAAGAATTGTTCAGGGTGGTTACAAATAAATATATAAAGGTATGTTAATGGAATCCAAGCTAGGAATGGTCAGCAGGAAAGAAAATATGTATCCACTGATGGACAAGTTATCCCAGGGGTACTAGATTTGGGGTGAATAAGAAAGAAGCATGTCATGTAAGCTCCAGAAGTGAGGATTGCCAAAGAAAGAAGGAAGAAAGGTAAAAAAGAAGAAAGGCATAGAGAAAGATTTACAAATGGCTCTATTTTGAACAAATGAAAATACAATTTTTAGGGCCAATCTTTTGTATTCTCTCTGGCTTTATGCAGGTAACACTTTCATCTGTCACTGAAATGGCTCCTCCACACAAGAAATGGCAGAGTTAACTGAAATGGGCTCCCAAATTGTAATTTTTGCAATAAAGTTAAAATATGACTTTCTGCAACCTATTTGGAGCTATAGCACCAATATGCTGATGCAGTTCCCTTTAAGCCCCAGTCACATTAGATTTTGAATGGTGTATTGCCAATTTGGGCATGGGCATGGGTGTTAAGGTGCATTTATTTAAGATTGAATGCTTGTCCTGAGTTAAAAGCAAATTAAAATCTGGCGTGTGAGATAATATTAAAAGGCGGCAATGTAATTAACACATTCTCCTCTGTGCAGTCTCCTCAAGCTCCTGTGGAGCCTGAGAAGGCACAGCTACAGTGAGAGCAGAAGCCTGGATGGTGCTGGCAAGGAAAGGCATCTGCATGGCTAGGTGTCCAGCTTTGTAGGGGGAAGATCTTGCCTCTGGGAAATGATCCAGTAAGCCAGCCTACAATTAATGCAAGCACAATTAATGACCATCTAGGTCCAGCCCTTCACCGAATTAGAAAGGACATTAGTAGCTGTACAGTTCACTTCCATTGGCTCTGATTCTGCACTCCCTGTCCACCGCCACTCCATGACTGAAGAGGAAACCAGTGTTCCATTGGCTTCAGGCAGCAAGAAAGAGGCAGATCCAGGAGGGAAATCAGGACATCTCAGGGTTCTTTTCAGGAGACCACCCCAAGGATGGAAGGTCATCAGGTCTATTGTGTAGTGGACCCCCTTGGAAGCAGCTATGGTCCCTTGGAGTAACCTAAAGAAGACAGACAGTGTTTGATTCACGGCATTTTGAGAATTGTCTTTGCCCTTCTGGTGCTCTAGACAATAGCTGAATGATAGGCTTTATGGCCATCAACTCAACCGAGGAAACTTGCCCAAAGATTTATGGCTTACTGCTCACCCCCACCAAAATATCTGTTCTAAATGTCTTCCAAATTCCACTCTCTCCTGACTTCTAGACTGCCTGCCGATTTTTTCCAAAAGAGGCAGAAAGAAGAGATTCTGAGGATTTTCTTCCTGAAGGTTATCACTTCTGATCATATATGTGAAGGCTGACCTGAGGTACCCTGGTATCCAACCTCCACACACTGAACACCTTCAGTGGCATCACTAGAAAAGACCAGAGAAGAAAACCCAGGTCACTAGCAAGAAAATGTGAAGAAAGGTGTTTTAAAGTTTAGAATTGTAAAAGGTCACTCAAAGAAGCCTTCACAAAAACTGAGCCATCAAGCTTCCCAGACAGGGAGTCAGATCTGATCATAACACGAGGAAGAGAAGGCTCTGAACGCTTCTTTCCCTTCAAGCTGGATGCCCAGCAGACTTGTCCCAAATCCAACTAAATGCACCTGTTTAAGTGCCTCCAACAGTCCCCCTGCCATACCAAGACTTGATTACCTCTGCCGCCTCCGTAAGGCTCTAAGGCATTTATCAGATTACCACTTGAGGTCACATATCCTACTGTCATGTTTTGTGGTTGCCTATTTATGCGCCTACTCACCCCAGAGAAATTAGAAGCTTGGAGCCGAGAAGGAAAAACTGTGTTCTGCATGCGGCAGGTGCCCAGTGCAAATTTGTAGAGCACATGCTGAATGAAATTGCTTTACTTGTAACGGTGGCCCCAGTTCTAGCCCACAGATCCTAGGAGTCCAAAGGGTGTAGAAAGAGAATTATGTGGAATTATGTGCAGCCAGCTGACAGCTGGGCTGCTATTTATCTGCTCTTTTCCGAAGTCTCCATTGGTCATTCCGTCCCACAGAAGCCAGAAATACCTGCATATCAGAGAATCAAATGTAAGGTTTTGTCCGATAATATTTAAACCCCAAAGGCAGTGTGAGACATAATTTCTACTCTGGCAAAGAATGCATATTTTAAGGGATCGATCCATAAACTTTGCAAGAAAAAATACACAGACTAAGATGCCTTTTAAAACGGAGGATTCAGAATTGATGTGATTATAATTGATATGAAATGTTGATTGGAATATTTATTATTCCTAAGATCTCTGCTACATTTCAGAGATGGCACAAATTCAAACGTGTGGACACACTCATTCAGGGCTCCATCCCGGGTGAGAGGACATGGGGGAGTGGCTCCTAGTCCTGAGTCATCATTCATGTTTCTTCCCCTGCAAATGAGGTTTCATCCACCCTGGACTTTAATATACCCAAGTGTGTCTGTCTCAGCAGGTGGAGACTGTTTCTCCCCGTGAGGCATGCCTTGTTAGCCACACACTGACTTCTAGATGTTCAAAGAACGGATGAAGATTTCGCCTGGAGCTGATGTTTTCTCTTAGGCTACTGCTTTCTCACACACACACTCACTGTTCCTCAAATTGTAGAGACCAATATAAGATTGTTAGCCTTTTCAATTGCCACATAAGAACTTTTAAAAACCACTATTTCTATCAACATCATTCCTTAATCCAAAAAGGATAAAGACAGCCTTTATATTGAATAAATTGACAACATTTTTCTTGTCCTTCTAATTCTACTCTATCCCTCTGATCTATAGTTGGTTATCATGTCCCCAAGCATGAGCATTCTAACAATGAAAATGTCTCTCCTGGAATGTTGCTAGATGGGTTCTAAATATTTAAAAACCTGGTTGTCTTTTCTTATGGATTTTAGGGTTTTATGTCCTAGGAGTCATAAAATTTAAGGATAGAATATGCAAAAGGGATCAGAAAATAGTAATAAAAATCATCAGAAGTCAAAGGTTTCCCTGGAATTTTTCATTGGTAGGCACAATGCTAATCACCAATGCAAATTCTCGTGACCAAATCAAAAATATGTTCTTTCTTCTCTGTTCCAGGTACATGGCCATCATCCATCCCCTCCAGCCCCGGCTGTCAGCCACGGCCACCAAGGTGGTCATCTGTGTCATCTGGGTCCTGGCTCTCCTACTGGCCTTCCCCCAGGGCTACTACTCAACCACAGAGACCATGCCCAACAGAGTGGTGTGTATGATTGAATGGCCAGAGCATCCCGACAAGATTTACGAGAAAGTGTGAGTAGGGATGACTCCCCAGTGGTGCCTCCTTTGTCTTTTCTTGTTTCTTCTTTCTTTCCATGCTCTTTTGTTGGTTGGGATTTAGTGTCTTTCTACAAGCATTTCTTCATAACCACTCTGATATCAGGTTGATGCATCCATCATTATCAAGGGACTTTTATCTCCCAAATACTACTCTGGACTTCAAATGAAAATTAGAAAAATGTAGGACCTGGCTCCTGTTATAGCCTACCATCCAGGTGTTCCTTCCATCTCCTCCGTGGGTTACCAGTGACTGGCCCACCAGTGTCTACATTGCTTTGCCTGGGAGCTCTTTCCTCACCTACAGAACGCCGCTCTGCCCTCTTGCTCAGCATGCCAGAGGTGGGGGAATTATCCCCTGCTCCCAGCAGCTCTCAACAACAGATAGGAACTGGTGTATGAGCACCCCAGCTCCCTCAGCCCACAGGTGGGATGTCTCTGAGGTGTGTGTTTTACATTGTATCCAAGGTTTTGTCTTGGGGTGAAGCTCCCCAGTCACCCCAGCGGCAGCTGGCTCAATGACAGACCCTTCCTTGTATCACTGCCCTACTCCCTACTGGTGTTTCTTTCTCCTTCTAAGTCACTTGCACTTGAATCCTTATCTCAGGATGTGCCTCTGGGGAAAACCAAGCCACAGCACCTATCATCCAGGGTTTTCTAGGTGGAGAAATAAGATGCACATTCAAAATGCATGGGAAGGCAAAGCCAGTACAATGAGACCTTATGAATTACAAGTTTCCCTACAAAGCAGGCCTGCTTATCTTCGGGGCCCTGACTGATCTCATTTAAGGGTTTTCAAAGAAATCCTGGCAATTTTCTCCAAGACTTCTCCTAGAGGCAACACTGAAATGGCTTATTCTTTGTTTTGTTCTGCTCAGGTAAGTGGCAATGTGACATTTATATTACCATCAGTTTTCTGGGCTCAGAGCACATTGATAATGTGGGTCCTTTTGAAAGTTCTCTATAATCCTCCTATCTCGGGTTTATTATGTGAATCATAAAAGAACACTGGTGTTAATAATCAGGTGATCTATGTTTTAATAACAAGATTGCCATTACTAGTTATGTGACTCTGGGCAAGGATCACAGTCCCCCCTCATTGTTAAAATTGAAAGCAACAAAGCACTGCTTCCCATAAACAACTGCTATGAAGCACAAACGAGATAATGTATCCTCTCCTTGTAAGCTATTAAATGCCATAGGAAAGGTAAGACATTGTTATCGAACAAAATTCATCAGATAGCGGTAGAATCATTACAGGCCTTTAAACTCACTAGATGGTAACACAAAACACTACCTGTTGACCCCCAAGATCCGAGTGTCTTAAAGCCTGCTGCAGAGAGTTATGAGGCTGTACCTGTTCCATGGAGCATGGAAGTGGGGCTTGCCAGCAAGCAATACATAAAGCCCAGACTTTGCCTTCCAGACACAGGCAGTGGGATTTAATCCATCAAGCAGTGGGGGGATTAATGCTCAGCCTAGAAGGAAACATTGAAAATTATTCTTCCAAATGAAACTACAAGCCTGAGTGGGGTCTCAGCAGGAGAAAGAACATAGCTTCACAAGCTGTACAGGTCCCCTGAACATGTTCCAGCCAGAAGGTTCCCTCAAAAGGGAAAAATGAAAGCCCTGTGAATTAAAGCCCATTCTATAAACTGCTTAGAAACCGCCTTTGATTGTATGGACTGTAGCTCAGCTCTTGGCTTTCATGATCTTTTCCAAGTCTGGTTACCTTCCTACAGTTTTGTTTCAAAATACAGTTCGTTTATCTTCCAACAAATTCTAAGTTTAACATGGAAACAAAGGTATTTCCACAGATCTCTGGAGTCTTGCCCAAGAAATAGTAGTTTTTAAAGTTTTACTCTTGAACATTTTGCTGTCTTATGCTTATTAAAGAAAGCCCTTTGAGACTCAATACAGCATGTGCCGGATTGTCTTATTTCCTTGCAATGAGAATTTAGGGTAGCTGTACTGGATGCATGGTTAGGTTTGCCATCATTGTTTATTTCATGATTTTTTAAACTTCTTCTTTTATGTGTTTATTTTTTTAATTTTATTATTTCTATTAAGTTTTTAATTTTAATTCCAGTATAGTTAATATACAGTGTTATATTAGTTTCAGATGTATAATGTAGTGATTCCACAAGTCTATATATTACTCAGTGCTCACCATGCTAAGGGTTCACCTATGTCACCCATCTCCCCATCCCCTCCCCTCTGGTCACCATCAGTTTCTTCGCTATAGTTAAGAGTCTCTTTCTTGGTTTGTCTCTCCCTCTCTTTTTCCCTTTGCTCATTTGTTTTGTTTCTCAATTCCACATATGAGTGAAGATGAATGGATAAAGAAGATATGAGACACACACACATACATATACACACACACTGGAATATTGTTTGGCCATAAAAAAAGAAGGAAATATTGCCATTTGCAACGAAATGGGTGGAGCTGAAGAGTAAAATACTAGGTGAAATAAGTCAATCAGAAAAAGACAATACCATACGTTTATTTTTTTATTTTAACCTTAAAAAATGAGTCTGGAGAAGAGCATCAGATTTTATCTACTCAGGCTGTGTAAAATGCTCATGGATACAGTGGTAAGTTAAAAGAACCCATATTTGTCATCCACATATGTGCTGTGAAGCAAACGTAGGTCAAGTGCATAGTAAGCTTTATGTAAGTCTATTTCCTTTTTGTCAATATCTTTCATAATGTATTATGATATACTTTTAGAGAATTTAAGTTTTACTAGCTGTAACCTAAGTACTTCATTATATTGTCTTCTGCTAGAACTGATTGCCATTTCCACAGCACACAATAATCCCAAATTTGAAACCAGAAGGAAACTTTGTTTAAGGCAGTATAATAATTAGGTTAGGAACGTGGGTTCTGGAGTTAAATGAGGGATCAACTCCCAGCCACATCACTCTCTAGTTGAGTCATCATGGTCAAGTTATTTAAGCCTCTAAGCTGAACGGAACATTCCACAGAGAGGTATTAAGAGAAGCAAATAAGGCACATGCTTAGCCCAGTGCCAGGCACATGGGAAGAGTTTGGTGAGTGTTAACTACTGTCATCAGTATCAGTCATTGATCCGGATGCATGGGTAGATGACTGGCAGCAGACAGTGTGGTGGGCAGATGCTTAGGCCCAGTTTGCCTGATGAATAATTTGTGCCAGCTAATTACATAAAAAGGTTTTGTGAAAAGTCTTAGATTGCTGCATTTGCCTTCTGGCTGCATGGTGAACCTCCAGACCTGATCATTAATCATTCAGACTCTTTATTAATACATGGATTAAATTAAGCACTATTAAAGAAAGACAATCCAATAAAAGAACAGGCAAAAGTTTTGAACATGCACTTCACAAAAGGAAATGTCCAAATGACCAATTAATATGTGAGGAGGCACAAAACTTCATTCGTCACCAGTGAAATACAAATTAAAACCATAATGACATCTTACTGCACACCCATTAGACTAGCAAATGTTAAGAAGTCTGACTCAACTAAGCATTTAGAACTTTTGGTAAAATTAGGAAACAATGAGAACCTTTGTAGACTGCTAGAAGAAGTATACATCGATAAAACTATATTGGAAAACATTTTGTAGTATCCAGAAAAGCAGAAGCTGTCCATACACTATAACCCCACAGTTTCGCTCAGGGGTAATTGCCCTAGAAAAATGCATGCATGTGTGCACCCAAATACAGCTAGCATGTGGTTCATATCAGCATTGTTCTTAATGCCCCAAACTGGAGATATTCCAAATGTCCATCATCAGTAGGATGGGTATAAAATTGTGGCACAAGCATGTAAGAGAATACTATATAATTAATACAATGAACAAAATGTAGCTCCATGAAACATGGATGGCTCTTACAAAGTTTTAAAACAAAATGAACAAAATGAAAGTACATCTTCAAGAGCACATCAAGAGGTGGTAAAACTATAAAAGCAAACAAAGCAGTAGTCACCATGAAAGTGAAGACATGATTCTCTCTCATGGGAGGGAAAGGGGTATGATCAAGAAGAAACACTTAGAGGTGCTTCTGAGGGGCTGACACTATTATATTTCTTGATCTCTGTTGTAGTAGCATGACTGTTGGCTTAAAAATCATTCATAATACCGGATAATTTTGTTCATCCACTTTTTCTGAAATGTATGCTTCATATTTTTTAATTGTAAATTAAATGGTATTCAAATGATTTTGCTTTTACAAGCTCTCAAGAAACTGCTCTCATTGGGAGCAAAAGTTCCCCAAAAGTTCCTTCCTAAGAAATTACCTTTTGAGGTGTGGAGCTTTGCCTAGAATGATATTATTCACAAGTTTTTACCTTTGAATAAGCCAAAGTATGGATGGACCCCACTTCATTCTCATGCTTACTTGACCCTGTGAATTTTGCCTTGCTGACTTCTATACTTCAGCCTACCTGGAATTTTCCCAACTGGTCTAAGAGCGTATGGGACAAATGCTGTCCTTGGAAGGAGTGGCAAACATTAAGGAGAGCATAAGGCCCAGACAGTCTCCACATCTCCCCTCCCCTCTTGCTGCTATTCATAAGCACCCACCTCTGGGCTATAAAATGTTACCGACAGACTTGGTCACTTTCCTGGAAAATCATTTAAAACTTTATTTTGCATTTTTTAAAATGAGTAAATTATGGAGTCTATGGAAAATTCCTCTAATTTCTTTAATCATCTGTATGCCCATCATTCATGAAAGGCTCTAACATTTAGATGAATATTCTTCCAGTCTCTTATTCTCTCTCTAGGTAAATACTGTTCTTAGTTTCTTTTGAAGTGTCTTACACAGATACAGGTCAACACAAATATAAGTTGTTTCCCTCTCTGTAAAATAAAATGTAGCTTTTTATGCACATCATTCTGTATCCTATTTTTAAAATTTGATATATCTTAGCGATATTTCCATATTAATTCATGAAGAGCTTTTCTATTCTTTTTCTCAGCTACACAGT